GCCAGGCAGGCCAGAGACATGCTGGGAGGGAACGGCATCTCCGACGAGTACCACATCATCCGCCACGTCATGAACCTGGAGTCTGTCAACACGTACGAAGGTGAGGAGGTGGAGGGTCGATACACAAGTCCGATAACGTCGCACATGAAATTGAATAAGTCCGTTAATTCCGTATCCCTCCTGCAGAAGGGAGACGATTTACAGTCTGATCGCCACGTTTAGGAAAGACCTCCTGTGGCGCTCTGTGGTGCACCTCAGTGGTCTCCAGACAATCAGTTAAACCCCACCGGTTGTATCTCCGCCTGAATCTCACCGACTGTCTCCTCCTGCAGGTACTCACGACATCCATGCGCTGATCCTGGGCAGAGTCATCACGGGGCTGCAGTCCTTCACTGCGGACAAATAGATCTGACTTCCTTCTGCTGGACTCAAAAAATCAACTCACATCTCAGCTCTGTTAAATCACAAGCAGATTTCAGATAACTTCTATGAACTGTCATCTATGTAAGAGAGATGATTGTGTTCTCTCAGGTTTGTAGAAAATCTATTGAAATGCTTTATTTAGAGAGAAAATTGTTGAATATTTAATGCAATTTCAACCTAAAGAGGACTATTTTTCTACTTTTTCTACTCTTCTGTAAAGTTGTTTTGTCTTAAATGTGTAAGAGCTCATCTTACAGCTACGATTGTTACCGTGGTGACTACTTTTAGCACTTTACAGCCTCTAGATGTAATTTGTTGGTTTGCCAGAGAGCAAAGATGAAAGCTTTGAATAAATAAATATTTTCAAAAAAGTGTCTGAAGAAGAGTGATGTGCAGCGTGGGTTCTCTCCGGGTTCTCCGGCTTCCTCCCACAGTCCAGAAACATGTTGAGGTTAATTGGTGATTCTAAATTGTCCATAGGTGTGCTTGGTTGTCTGTCCGTAGACTGGTTACCTGTCCAGGTGAACCTGCCTTCACCCTGAGTCAGCTGGGATAGACTCCAGCCCCCCATGACTCTAGTGAGGATTAAGCGGTGTGTAGATAATGGACTGATGGATGGATGGAGCTATTAAACACTTGAAAGTACTTTCCACCACCTCCTTTGCTGCAGTAATGATCAATAAAGGATCTCATATTTAGGACTGTACCAGCTCCATGAGGTGTCCTGTTATTGTTCGGAGGGGGTTTCACTCTCACTTTGTTTGATCTATTATTTATACGAACCGTATTGAGGAAAGAAACTTTGCGGAAAGCAGACGATCTGATGAACTGATCCTGCTTGTTCAAAAATCCGCAGAGCACATGGGCCTAATCAGAAAAACGTATGGAGCAGATTGACTTTATATAACATCCACCGCACCTGTTGTAAAAGTCCAACTGTCCTCCCCACAGAGCCGGTCCTGATCCCGAGGATGCAGACATAAAGAAGACCCGCAGCTTATTGACTTCAACTCTTTATGGAATAATCAGCTCTAACTGCGGGGGAATCGTAGGAGCTTAAAGCCCGTTTTAATCAGCATCGTTTGCTTTTTCATCATCCTATGGCACTGATGCAGCTCCGTCACTGCAGGTATCAGCTTCAGTGACTTTGCCGCAGTGTCTGGGTCGGGCTGATGCTGAGTGCGGTTTTGTATTACAGTAAATCCATCAAAAACGGCGGCGAGGAGAGGGTTATCGGCTGCATCGTCTGCAAAAGCACTGAATGCTCGGGTTTTCTTTCTATCTTCTCATTTATGACACCACACGTGTAAAGAATATAAAACTACAGGCACTGCTACACTTAAATTGGAGGGTTTAGACAGAAAACTGCAGCTCAAGCTTTTAAAATGCAACACATAGTTAGAGACACTAGTGATTTCCAACCAGTCTCACATGTTAACAGCTTCACCAAATGACTAAACAAAGTGGTTCAAACTAGCTCCACATGCTGCTGACACACTGAAGCTTCACTGTTATGAATCTGATCTCATGAAATAATATAAAACCACTAGTTTTACTTCAATACTTTACTTACATGTTAATACTTCTGTACTTTTACTGTAGTATTTTCCCATTGCTGTATTGGTACCAAACTCTTACGAATACAACAACAGAGGCTCGTTTTGGAGAGACTGGATGTGCGATATCAGCTAACTCGATGCTTTATGTGAGAGACAAAGAAATGCAATCTTAAAACTAGAGATGGTCTTGCTATGGGATTACACAAGCAGCCACGCCTGACAGTCTGAGCAGTGAGGATGCGTTCATTTTGATCTGAACTGCATTCCTGACCGTTGTGATTCTATCGAAGCCCGTCTACAGGGAGTGAAGCTGCTGTTTTATTGTTTAAATATTTTTTTTTTTAATCCAGGTGCCCAAAGGGTGTCCAAAGCTCAGGTAGATGAAGTTTCTAGCCTCGACCCTTTCTTTCCTTTCTAATGGCTGCATTCCACTTATGGTTAGTCCTGCTTTTATAAATGCTGGTTCACTGTCATGACTTACGGTGACACTTAATGGAACTGAGCCATCATTAGTTCCACCATCACTTTGGCCATCAGATTAAACTCCATAATCACAGACACAGTATCCCAAGTGTGAAGCATGGAGGTGGCAGCATCATGCCATGAGTGCGTTTCTGGTGAGAGAACAGAAAAATACTGTGAAATGCTGGAGGAAAGCTCAGTGCAGTCTGCAAAAAAAACAACCTGCCATCCAGGTGAAGATTTGTTTTCCAGCAGGACAATCACCCCAAGCTACATAGGAAGGGCTTCATAATATCATAAAGGGGCCAAATCAGAGTCCAGATCTGCATCCAAACAGCGGTAAAAACTCTATTTCACAAACTTCCAAGGGGGTAATGATGTATTATCACCACAGCATACTGAATAATAAATGTGCATCCTCCTGCTTGTACTCACACTGTTCCTTCATTTCTATTTCCACTTTACATCCAGGACAATTAGGAACTCTACAAAATGTTCTGAGCAGATAATCTCCTGGTTGCTGTTTTTTTTAAACCCATCAGGGATGTGAGGGTGGACGGGCCGCCGGGCAGATAAAGACCTCCATCCTCTCCGGCCTTGTTGCATGTCTGCCGCTGCCACTTTGAAGCGGAGGGAATTAAGAACCGACAAATCCCCCGGCCATACATGATGCCCAGGCATGTTCTACATGCTGCTTACATAAGGAAATGACTTCTGACCAATAGCCTTTCATCTTTTATGTTCTTGTAGATGTGACTCACTGTGACTAATTGTACCCCAAAAGGCCTTCGCCGTCTGCGTCCTTCCTGTCAGCGGTGATGGAGGCTGATGAGATGCTTCCCTTGTTACGTGAAATGAGCCTAATTGTGAAGAGGGTTGCTGTGTCCCACCGTCTCTCTCACATTTTCTCATCCAGCTGCTACATCAGCTAATACTAGAATAATTAGGAGGCTTTTCATCGCAAACATTCGTCTGGATTACGACCTCGGTGGGTTATGAGCTCTGTCAGAACGAGTCGTCCTCGTGACGGGGCTCAGATGACAATCTTTTCATGCAGTCAGCGGGGACAGACGTGCTAATTCTCTGACTGCACAAAAAAAATACAGGATTACGATTCCCGATGTGGGATTTGTGGGTATGACGAGTGCAACCTTTGTGGGGCAGGTTAAGGATCAGCTATGATTTAAA